GTGCCGCTCCCTCCGCCCGTGCGAGCGGCCGAGCTCCTGCGGGCTCGGTTCTGCCATCCGGCAGGCCTCCTCGCCCTCCTTTCAGGCTTGTTGTTCGTTCGGTTTGGCCCTCTTGCTTCCCCCCCTCTGCTGTGGGGGCTCTTCCAGCGCCTGTGGGGCGGGGGGACCCCTCACCCTGTCTGGTCTCCTGTGGTGAGGGGGGCCAGCAGGCTGCCCAAACCAGAGAGACAGCAAAGCTGCCCCCAGACCGGGGCTGGCCCGAGGAAGGAAAGAAGAGATGGAGACAAATAGGAAATTTTGCCGTGACCTTCCGATTTTAAAAGATGGACAAGTTGTTGTTTTTCCGCAGTGAGCCGCCTCTCAGGCCGGGCAGAGGCCGGCAGCGCGCTCTGAAGGGCCTGGGGTGTGTAAAACCCCCGGCTGCAGGGAGTGAAGGAACAGACTCCAACCCCCTGAGACGGCAGTGTTATAAAAAAAGACTAAGTCCGAAATAGATTCACTAAACATTTAATAAGGTAGGAAAGCAAAAGCAGCGCTGGGCGGCCGGGGAGTCACAGCTCCACCAAGGCCTCGCAAATTCAGGCTGAATAACTCTTATTATCCTCACAGAGGTCGAAGGCCTCGCAAATTCAGGCTGAATAACTCTTTTTATCCTCACAGAGGTCGAGTTTGACATCTTCAGTCTGCTTCTTCCCTTATCTTTACTCCATCTGGTCTGTCTTGCTTCAAGGCAGTTTCAAGACCATGTTGGTTGTAAATTAGTTCATACCCTTCCCCTTCTACACAATTAATTAGTACAGAGTTAAAACAGAGATAACATTGGGGTTAAACTTATCTTGTCAAAACAGGACATTCCCATGTAGTTTAGCAAGATAATATAGCGGACGTCTCATTAGGAAATTCTCAAGACTGCCACAATGGGCTCCTTTCTCTTGCTTAAATTGTTTGGTCAGTAAATTACAATCTGGCTTCAGGTGAGTTTTACAAGTGGTGGTGGCATAGTCAGCTTGTGCCATCTCTTACATGCATTTGGTTAGTACAAATATAAACATTCACTTACATAGACACATTTTGATAGCATTGCAGTTTGTGTAAGTCAGGACTTTCTTACACTATGTACAACAGAAATGGACAATCCTAAGATTTGATCAGCAACAAATCTTCAGTTATTCATTACAGCAGGGTGAGAGCCCGTGGGAAGTGCTGGCCCCAGGCAGCCGGGGGTAGGCTCCGAATCGAGTCCCTAATGTCCAGTGGACTGAGATACCTTGTCATGGGTTGGCAGCCAACCCGACTTTAATTAAATGATCTTACAGCTGAGTTGTGTTAGCTTCTCTGTAATCGTGTTCAGGAGTAGGAAGTTTGATACTGGACAGCATCAAACCTTGAGCCCTAATGAGGACTAAGATGAATATTCCTCAGCGTTTGGCCTTGCCACCCTCTGTAATTCTAGCCACGTGATTCACCTTACTGCAGAGATTAACCTCCCAAAAAATCCCACACAAGAAGAGCCAGGTAGCTCCAGGAAAGAGATCAGAGGGAATTAGGATAACTGCTAGTAACTCTGGTGATTTAGGCCAGTGCATAAAACTAAAAGGAACAAACCCGAGTCTTGTTGCCGGGTTAACTCTGGTGATTTAGGCCAGTGCATAAAATTAAAAGGAACAAACCCGAGTCTTGTTGCTGGGTGCTGAGGCTGTTGGCCTTCAAAGCTGTCAGAGTGCTGTCCCGCGCCGGGACGGCTCTGTGAGACACTTGGCAATCTCAGCAGGGGCTGATTGGAAGGTTCCCTTAACATAAGCAGAGTTTCAACCTGTGTATTAAAAAGTTATTTACATTTCATTTTGCCTACATCACCCTTTGCCCGCAGCAGTAGAGTCCCTGTCTCTCAGACTTTGGGGAGTGTTACAAAAATAAAGTCAAAGTGTGGGTATATGGGCTGTGTGGAAACCAACGTGTTTTCACCCGGGCTTAATGTAAGACAATACTGACTCATGGCCTCAGCCTTCTTCGGGTGGCTGAATCATAGAATCATAGGAGAGTTTGGGTTGGAAGGGACCTTTAAAGGTCTTCTAGTCCAGCCCCCCTGCTATGAGCAGGGACATCTGAAGATAAGGTTTTGCCACGTGCTCAAGTCTATAAATCTTTATGCTCTGAAATACTTTTTTTCTTGTTTCCATATTCTTGAGTCACTTGGAATGTGCTCTTAGAATAGTAGGAACACATAGATGAGTGACAAAGACTACCAAAGATAAGGAACTGTTTACATAAATGGTAATAATTCAACAGACTATAGCTATGGAGGCGTCCAGCAGAGATGTATCAAGTCATGAGAGGCACAGAAAAAGTGAACGCAAAATGAATGTGTTTTCTAATACAAGACCTAGAGGGCATTGAACACAATTGTCAAGTAGAAGATTGGAAACAAAGGTACTTGGAAGAAAATAAAGTGCCTAAAGTGTAACTAAGTTGTGAAACTTTCTGTCTGTGGATATTAAGGATACTAAAAGTTTGGATTAGTCCAAAAAGATTGGATTTTTTTTTTCCATTAGTATGTCTGTTAACGGTTATTAAATACCAAGATATCACCTCTGGTTCAGAAAGACCCTGAACCACACTGCCAGCAGCTGTGTGCAATTGCCAGGGAAGATGCATTATATGGCTGCTTTATTCTGACATTCTGCCTTAGGCATCTGTTGTTGACTGCTAATTTAGGCAGGATACTGAGCTAAAAGTGTCCTTGAAATTACTTTACATAGCTGTTCTCATTACTTTTCTCAAAGGCTTATGTTGTTTTCCCCATAATTTTAATTAAATGTACTGAATTATATTTGAGGCAGAGGGGAAGTCCTCTAGCTAATTATTTATATCTTAGTTTTGGATCATTTCACGTATTCAGTGAAGAATGACTTCTCATAAACCAGCTCAAATTCCAAGCCAGACTTTTCCTGGAGTTGATTCTAGAGTGGTTATTCTAAAGGGAGTGTCTTTTAGCTGGAACAAAGAGTTACGGGAGAAGGGGGGAAAATAGAATTTGCTGGGAGCTCTTCAGAAGTATGGTTAGATACATCTTCTCTGATCTAGCTTTGTTATGCCTTTAGGGGACAAAAACATTAATATAGTGAACAGCTATGGTAATTCTCTCACAATCGCTATACCTACAGTAGTTAATCACTTTTTTCCTTGATTAGTTAGCCACTTTCTCAGCAGACATAAATTCCCAGGAAATGGAGTGTAGAAGACATGAAAAAGTGATCTACCAAGAAACTGGGTTTGGAACAAGCAGTGTGTATTAACATTACAAACAAAAAGATCTCAGAACTTAAACGGATTTTGGTTTTTTTCTATCGTGATTCCATATGCATTTCAAATGATAACAAGGATTTTTCTGCCAGGTCTGTAGGTTCTGCCTGGGGTTTTGAACACTGTTTCTACTTATTCATTTTCAGCAGCAGCTCTGGGCAGGGTCCTTTTTCCTCATCTCTGCTTCAGCTCCTCCCCTGTGATAGAACAGCGGAATGAGCTGGGCAGCTGAACAAAGAACAGATTTGGTTGACAGAGTCTTGTCATCTTTTTTTTGTTGGTTTATTTTTCATTGTTACCAGTGCTATGACATATGAGTTACAAAGTCTATGTGCTCAGTTGATTCCCTTAATGACAATATTACTTCATCACTGTGAATGAGTTTACCCAGCTGGCCTCATTACAATACGCATAAATAATTCAGCTGATAAGTCATGTAAGTGATTAGAATGTCACTTTTTTTTTTCTTTGCTGTGTTGTTCTTACAGACATAGGCCCTGGTAAAAGGCATTTTAACCCAGCAACACATTGCTCAAATGGGTTCTTTTCGTTTGTGGCTGGCTCTCACAACTATCTTCTTAAATTTCAAAGTATTAATAATGCCGTTTTGTAGAGGAAAAGGCATAGCCATGAGTTCAGGCTATATCTCAAGGTCACATAAAGAAAAACATTTCTTCCATTTCAATATCCACCTTCAGTCTTGTAATAACCACCTTTCCATAAATAATCTTCTACTAAGACAAAACTCCTGGAGATCCTAATAATTAGAAGTGGTAAGTATCATCAACAGATTGGCTCCGGTCCCGCATGTACACAGACAGCAGATATTTAGGGAAGCAGATATTTAGCAGATACAGGGGAGAGTGTGCCCAGCAGGTCAAGGGAAGTCATTCTGCCCCTCTGCTCTGCACTGGGGAGGCCACAACTGGAGTACTGTGTCCAGTTCTGGGCTCCCCAGTTCAAGAGGGACAGGGAACT